CACTTATCTTCATGTGCAGTGTATGTGCCCCTAGCCACAACTTCTCAGAGTGCCTCACCATCTCCTCGTTGGACTGGGATGCACCTGACAAGGGTTGTGGTCATTTGTCTGCCCCCAGACCAGCTTCACCATAATGCTGCCTCATGGCTTCTGAGCAGGTTGTCCATCTGCTGCCCCAAGGTGAGCTGACAAACTCTTCTGCAGCAGAGAACAGCCAGCAGCTCCTTTTGAATTTGAGCTGATGTCCCTCCTGTGCACAGCACTGCAAGCGCTGCTCAATGGCCTTTGGGTGCTGCTCCTCTCCCTCCTTCCCTACATCATCACCTCACTTTTATACTTGTGGCCATTCCACTGTGACACCAAAGGTGCTAAAGGATGATCTTGTGCCTCCCCCTGCTCTTTCAGACACTGATGGGCCATACTGGATCTTCTAACTATCCCAAAGACCCACAGGCATTATTGAATCTGGAAAAATACCTGGTAACTATTCTAAATTTACTTCATCTGCACACCTTGATCTGAACATATTCCTAATGATTCCATTCCTCTGGCTCTAAACAGAATTCTTAAATGCTGTGTGCCCTCTTCATCCTCTGTTTTTGACATAGCTTTCACGTCAGCTTGATATCCCACTCCCAGCGCCCTGCTTGGACCTGTCAGAGCTTGGCACAATGCTGAATCTGGTTTTTTGCAGGGGTTGGGATTTTTCTGTTTAGTTGGGGGGTTTTCCCCCTTTCTTTTTTCAAGAACGTAGCATGAAATTCATAGCAAAGGTTGTTAAGGGGCTGACACCTCTTTCTCATGTTAGTGTCCTGATCCCAAAAGTGCAAGATGATCTATACTTTACAGAGTTATTGAATGAATATTACACTTATGACTTTTTGCCTGAAGCTTCTGAGGAATTATATTTTATGGAGGCTTTGACACTTTCACGACAAGTGTCAAAACCTGATTATAATTTGTTTTGACAATATTTCTGTTAAAAATATATAGGGCATCACAAACAATATTTTTGACCTTGTACTTTTTTTGAGATCTGAGAGTGCACAAGACTTCACAGCAATCTGTCAAAAATATTATTGTATCTTGAACATGAACTTAAAATAGTTTCTACAGAACCATTTTTATTCTTTATTTTTAAAACAAAAGGAAGACATGTAGTATTTGTCCCAAAGTTTAACTGACAGCAATAATTATGGCTAATGAAGACAAAGGGACAACATTTTATGAAAGTTGTTGTTTTGACCTGACTGAATCATTTGATGTGTTCTATTTTCAGTGGGGATTTTATGTTAAAACAGCCATAGCTTGCTACCATCACAAAAAAAAGGGTTAAGGTTATTGCAAGGTCTCTCTCATCTGGAGAGGAAGCAAGTAAAACCCAAACAATTTCAAAGCTTCCTTCTTTATTATTAAATTAGATCTGGTAACATCCCTCTGCATTATGCATTTACATTCTGGCAATAAATTACTAGTTCATTGCTCAAGACTCAAGATCTGTTTTTAAAATTTACTTTGTATTTTCAAGTGTCAGTTGAAAGGACCTGCTGTTATGGTCAAAATATTTTATTATAAGGTGTCCTATTAATCCAACACAAACACAAAGGTAATTTACCTGGAATTTTCTTACGGAACAACTTAAAAACTGGCTGGTCACTACATACTCTCTTCCTAGATAAATCACAACCTTTAGAAGTAATTTTTTAATCCAAGTTATTCTCTTTAATTCACTTCAATGTTTTTCATATTTGATTTGTTACATTCAGTAAGTTTGTCCAGCCTTCACTTGGAAATACTCAAAGATATGTGATGCCTTTTTTTAGTGAATTATTAGCTACTGGAATAATCTTAAGAAGTTTTACTTATGTTTTTTAATTTAATGTCTAGCATTGTCTTCAAATATGCTGTAACCTTTCTAACATGATATTTAATTAGAGGGAGCCACAGATCTTTCAATAAACAAAAGATAATTAAAAAAATCTAAAGACCTGGGCCACCTCCTAACCTCCAACTGGAAGTCTGTGCAAATCCCCCTGTAATTCTCAGGGTGTTTATAGTAATTCGAAAAACAAAAATTATGCGTCCTACAGAAAACTGATATATAGTCCAGTGCCTTAAGAAGCAGTAGATGGAAGGCATGGTTCCTGTACACATTCACCTGTCTGTTGACAAAAAACATAAATTTTGAGAAAGAAGAGGGGGAAAAACCCGCAATGATGTCCATATAATAACTTTTTAAAATCTTAATTAAAAATCTTAAATTTCTGTCAGAGACATCTTTTTCATAGCTGTCATGGCAGAAATATTGTAATAAACAATTTAGTAAAACAACTGGGTTGTTACCGTGGAACCCAGGTGCCCACATGTGGTACCAGTTAGGAAGCTGTTGGTGCCTGCAGAGCTGCCTCCCCAGGAGGGCTCTCATACATTCTTTGTCACATCTGACAGCCCCCTGTATCAACACCATAACAAATTTAAAAGAAAAAAAATCAAATAGTGCAGTATTCAATAATTGTAACTGAAAAACTACTCCTAGACTTCTTATCAATTTATTTTGCCTCTATAACCAGATTTCATAAATTATATACTAGTCAGTAGCTCAGCTAAAATATTCCATACAACGTCTTATGATTTGTAATAGAAACAAGCATAAAATAGTTATATAGGAAAGAGCAAAATAGGAATTTTACACATCTAAATGCAATCTCCAGCAATTCAGGTCTTTTCTCATGCTAATAATAGAACTGCTTAGATTTAACAGCAGAAGACAATTACATGTCACGGAGCAGCCTAATATAAAATGAGAAACTTGTAATATCTGCAAGAAAAATGACATTATTAGCATTCATAGCACAACCAATAATGTACTGTATTTCCATTACTTAAGAGTAGCATTTTTTTATCTATTCAGAGCAATTCTGGATATGAAGGTCTAACTGCTGGACACAATCTTATTACAGTATCCAAGATCAACAGGACTATTGCTGCCTTTCCTGTGCTCACAGGACTTGTGGGCACAGACTGTGAGAACACATTCATGTTTAATTATAATGAAAATGTCACATAAAGAATAGGAAGGGTGTTAAATCACCACACAAAGATTTAAACTGGAAGCTGGTAAGGTTTTAATAACCCTCTGTTTGTGAATTATGCTTCCAATAACACATAAATGTATTATGGAGCTTTAGCTGGTATAAAGCAGTTTCTTATGGTTTAATGTATTTGAAATGAGAATGGCTGTACTTTGTAGTAACAGAAATACCAATTATGAATCAAACTCTTAGTCTAATTCACTTAATAATAGCTGCAGTTAAGGCAGATGTTGAAATGCTTAAATGCTCTCTCTTCAGTTTGTGAAGAGACAACATTCATTCCCCATATTTATGGGAGCACAGTCACGGAAGCCTCTTTTTCCACGAGGATAGGACCCGGCCATCTCTGCACAGCCGAGCGCTCTCATGGGGCCTGTCCTGTCCCCTGGGCTCTGCGGGGCCAGCTCCTGCCTGTCCCTGTCCTGTTCCCTCCTGCCTGTCCCTGTCCTGTCCCCTGGGCTCTGCGGGGCCAGCTCCTGCCTGTCCCTGTCCTTGTCCACCAAACTTCTTTGAAGAAACAACGTGCTGATACATTAAGAACTGCTCTGAATAATAGTCACACTTCTGTCTTACACTATTGCTTCCTCCAAGACTCTACCTTCTCAAGCCCAGAAAAAACAAAATCAAACAAAACAAAGAAACCCAAAACAAAACAAAAAATACACTTAAAAATACATTTTGAAGTCCTATTGAAGTCTGTTTTGTTTTATGGTAACCACTGGATAGTCAACATCCTTTCCCAGCCTTAAGGAGAGCAGCTGCCAAGAAATGGCCTTCAACTTGCTTACACTGCAAAGGATTTTTTAAAGAATTCCCTTGCAAGAGACAAGTTCCAGCTGAATGTTATTTCATGTTATTCCCGTATGTAAAACATTTTAAAATATGCAAGTTACTTTAGCTTTAAGCAAAGTGCTAAAATACAAAGACCAAAGCTTCTCCTTTATTAAGAAGGCAGTGCATTAGTTCTGCTCATCTCTGCTTTTGCTGAAACAAGTGAAGTTACAGCTCACTTCACATGTCTTTAGCCATTACTCTATTGCACACTCAAGTTCCATCTTATTAGTCAGACATTTTTTCCAGGAGAAACTCCCATCTGAATGGGAGCCTCATGTGTTTAAACAGGAGGGGTCCCACCAGCACCCATCTCCTCTGACCCCCTTCTTGCTCATGGGGTAATGAATCTTCACAGTTCTTATAGTTCCATAATTGGGGGTATAAGATGTAGGACTTCCTCCTATTTTTAAATAGTGTCAGCTCATCTCAAAAGGTTAAAAAAAAAATCACCTCATTGTATGCAACAGACTAATAAAAATGCTATGTATCAGCATAACAGGAAATGTGCAACTCTGACACTCCTGCTTGTGGAAGAAGTTATGCAGGCTCCTGGAGTCAGGCAGCAAGAACAGTCCTTCTCTTGCAGGCGAATCAAGTATTCCAGATATTTAGCACTGCTTTCCCTTGTGTCAGCAGCTCCTGTGAGCAATCCAAGCAAAGAGGACACATTTTCCATCTCTCAACAGTGGCTGAGAAAGGCACACAGGTCTCAGCCTATATGTTCAGATAATAAAATACAATTAGCAGGCAGGAGAGAATGGTAGGAAGGTCCCTCAGACAGGATAAAACTGTAGAAATGTCCCTCAGGCACATCCTTGTTCAGTCATTTTGTTTGCTAGAGTTGCATTTGTGACATAGGAATACTCAAGGCTGGGGGCTCAGAAGGGGTCTGCAGAAGCCTTCCAAATTCCAGAGATGTGACATGGGGGTAGTTCTACATATACAGAGTCAGCTGAATGAAGCAAACATCCAAAAATTTTCCTTTGACTTTGTCTATGTTGTCAAATATACACAGCAAGATTGCTGCATCTCAGCAGGCTGAGCTGACACCTCACAGAAACCAGAAGAGCATTCTCACTTGCATTTCCAGTTCTCCTTCTCATCAGCATCTGAATAGGTGTGTAGTGAATCCTTTGCGAGAAAAAAAAAAGAAAAAAATAGCAGAAATTTATTTTGTGCCCACTTCTTCCTCAATCCTTACTGCAATGGAGGATCAAAGAATCCTAACCCATCCTTTCATCCAGAGGACCAGGCAGTGTTACACAACCCCAACACTACAGTGGTGTTTTGCCACCAAGAGCTGCCCTGCTACATGCCCTCTCTGCAGTTTCATCTCTCCTGCCACTACAGGTGTTGATCTTGCTTAGGAAGAAAAAGAAACATCTTGATGCCCACATCTCTCATCTTTGAGAGATGAACAAGGCAGGCTTTGCTAGTGTGAGATTTTTCTTTACCTGGGCTAGAAGCTGGTGACGCCTCAGCTGTCTGTAGAACTGCAGCACAGCAGGATCAGCTCTCACTGCCTTTGGGTCAAAATCCAGAACACGGAGACCTGCAAGGCTTCGGGCTCGGGAGAGAGCTACATAGGCCTGCCCACTTTCAAAGACACGAGACAGGGAGATCTCCACACAGTCCAAAGACATGCCCTATCAAAGGCACAGAGAGCTTGGTTACAGAGCAAAAATACATTGCGATGTATCAACACTAACATGTCCTGTGAGTCTGTCCAAGGTACCATCTTTGGTAAAAGATTTTTGATTTTTTAAAAAGGGAATCAGTAGAAAGCAAAGGCATTTTTCCACTGTCAGGAAATTTCTAGTAGATAGTAGGATCCACTAACTAACTCCAGTGAGGCTTTTGTTGTGTGAAACTCCATAAATCCCATCTAATCAACACAGCAGGGAAAGAAATCCTGCTGGTTTCACTCTTAGTAGTTAACTGGAGCAGGCACCATTCTCAAGCAGTCCTCAGGGAGATCTGAGAGAGAGTTTGGGTAAGGCCTGGCCAGCCCTGTCTCATGGGTCATCCCAGGTGCAGCAGAATTTACAGCATGGCCTAGTTTAAACTGTGGCATGGGAATAAACTCATAGGTCACAGGTCTCCAAGACCAGTATTTATCAAGTATGAAGTCTTCTGGAAAGGAAGGAACTTTTGAAATATTACACTGTTACATTGAAAGTTATATTGAAAAAATCCCCACTCTGCACCACCAAAGGGTGAGTCCAGCCCAAAGAGCACAGCTGTGGCTCCAGCAGCTTCCTCGGTTACACTGCAGAGCTCAGGTCCTTAATGCTCTCAGGGGAGCACTAGGGACCTGACTCACCCTCATCAGCCCACAGATAAGTAATGCTGCTTTATACTCCAACTCTGCAGATGGCAGTGCCCCTAAGGAAACCCCAGCAGTACTGACAGCCCCACTCTCTACAGCTAGACACATATTCTGGCCTTCCCCCCCAGCAAGGGCCTTTCAGCTTTCCCTCCTGTTTCACCAGCAATGCAAGCTCACCCAGGAAATAGGGTTTATAATGATGTAAAAGTCTATAGACAGCAGCACAAGAACACCCACCTGACTCTTGTGAATGGAAATGGCCCATGCCAATTTTAAAGGTAATTGCTGGCGACTCAGATGAACTCCTGATGGTCCTTTGATGACCCATTTCTCCATTTTTATGAGCTGTGTGACCCCACAGAGAAACCTCACCTTAGGCAACCCTGTAGGAAGGAGAGTAGGAAAAAAAACAGGGATGTATTCCTAACACTCAACAGCCAGGATGTCAGCAGCTAAAGAACACCTTTTTTCTGCCTAAACCAAACTTAATCCACAAACAGTTAATAGCATGTCCTGAAATGATGTTTGACATCTACTTAAGCAGAAGAATTGAAGGCAGTTCAATTTTACCAGTTGAGAAGCAGAGAAAAAATTTGCAGGTAGCAGAACATTATTCTTTGAGAAGAACAAACAAAAATTAATCAAAACTTGCTTCAACAGAACAAACAGGAAATTCAAATGAGCATACACATTTACATACAGAATACAGAACACAAGAGGTCTACAGATAGCTGTAGCTGATGCAGTGCATGACATCACAGCTCATGAGAGCCCCAAGCTTGCAGAGATCTCTCTGCTTTCCCTCAAATTATTACCAAGCTGTAAACAAAATTAAGAAGTCATCAGCCACCAATGACACACTGTTTTGTTATTTTCCCACTTCCTTCAACAAAAGAGCAAAAGGCTTACTTACCCTTCTGTTCACTTTCAAACCCTACAACAACACCTCGTGCCCCATTCACCAGCCCTTGAGACACATCCAGATTCTTTGCTAACATCACCTACAGAGAAAAAGAAATATTTTAATGCACTTCTTCCACAGTCTGTTCAGCTACCTGCAGCTAAACTTCTTGCCAGGAAGCATAAGCACATCAGGCTGATTTGGCCAAATCATCCTATCCTGCCTATTGCAGCACCATCTCCCATTTGATTGGAATTATTTCACAGCCATTCCTTCCTAGGATTCCTCACTACATCATTTTACAGCACTGAACACTTTCCTTGAGCTATTTCTGTCCACAGCTGTGAGCTCAGGTCCAGGAAGCAGTTTCCCCTTCACCAGGCATCACCAGCCTATGCATCTATAGATTCTGGGAACAGCTGAGGAACAAGTTTCCAAAGCAAACAGTGCTACTACTAAGTACAGTCCTAATCTTTTCCATTCTGACAGCCCCAGCTCAGAGCTAGGTGCCCAGTCCAGCAAATATGGCAAGCTGTGCCATACCTTTATAGATGGGGAGGGCTGCTGTACCTGGAGCTGAGACTGCAGGCAAGGATTGCTTATGCTCTCTGCTGCTGGAAGGCTTCTAAATTTGACTGGACATCTCTGTCAAAGTCACAGCAATCACCACTGTCCTCAAGACATGGACCTGAACTCATCTTCTGTCTGGATAAGACTCTAAGCAGGAAAAATACAGAGACTAGGACAGAGTCTTCTGTTGGCTGGGCATAGCCATTCTAGACTGAATTTGCATTATATAAATTCATCTACTCTATACATTTCTCTGATATTCCTCCATTTTTCTTATGCCATTTGTTCTGGTCTGTCACACAGATATGTACACACAGTTACCTGAGCTCCAAGCTTTAGCTCAACTCTACCACCCACAGGACACTGAGCATCAATTAACTTCACTAGCATTGGGTCACTGTCCAAAGCCTCAAACACATGCACTTCTCCTGTTAAGGAAAGAAAGGCAGAACTTACAACTGTTGAACATTGAACATGAACTCTACACAGCATTTCAGGAGGTTCAGCATTTATTTCTAACAGTAATTCCTCTTTTAATATCCATTCTGCTCTGCTGCTAGGACATCCTCACACAAACCTGGTCACATTTAACAGCAGAGAGCTCACTGTTGCCTCTCTTCCCTATATAACTTCCAGAGCATGAAAAGGCACAGGAATGAAAGGTCAGCAGTAAATAAGAACTGAGCAGACAGCATTTTGAGCAGTTTCACTCACTACCAACACCAGATCTCCAAAGCAGACTAAGGAAGAATCCAAGGGCCAGCAAGCCAAAAAAGGCAAAAAATTAAATAGCCTTTAATTCAAGCCATGGCTGGATAGAGCATAGCATTTCTAAGATGCTATAGAAAAAAAAAGCAGGGGTGTGGAGGCAATAAATTACCTTGCTGTCTCTTATAAACCAAACAGTGACATTGTGGCTTTTTACACAAAAAACAGTGATTTTTTTTCCCTAGGCACCTCAACTCCAACACACTGAGCTCGGACTGGTGCTGCTGTGCATGACAGAACACCAGTTCCACCTGACACCCCAGTACCCCCACTGCATCCATGCAGAGCTCAGCCCCAGAGCCAGCAGTTTCCTCCACCGAGCTCACCTGGAAGGTGTTGCAAGCGTCTCTCATTGGTTATTTCTACATCATCTTTATGGGTGCACAGCCTCGTAGCCAGGATCCCATCACGCTCAGACTTGTGAGCAGCTGTCTGCATCAGCTGTCTGGTGACCTCCTCTGTGCACCTGGTAGCCAGGAAAAGGGAATTCTTCTTTAAAATGATCAAGAATAGGTTTGAGGAGCAGTAACCTCCACACAGCTAGATCAGTCTGTGCAAGCTACAGGCCTCCAGAGAGGACAGAGAAGGACACCTGCATAAAGTGAGACAGCAGAGCCAGTGTGTGCCTCAGCCCTGCCAGCTCAGGAGCCTTTGAATTAATTCACAGAAATTGCAGAGGGACCCTAGGAAGTGTCCTTCCTTACCAGAGCAGCATATATGAAACCTGTCTACGTTAACTAAAGCATTTACAGCTTTTACCCACAGCCACATATTCCTGACAGAGTACAGAAAAGTGACAAACTGCTCTTTCACCTGCTCCATCAGTGGGGAGCAGGGATTACAAAGAGAGATGAGTTTCTCCTCACCTGCCTAAACGGATTTCACTCAGGAGTGAGACAAAGGTCTTGTCAGTCTGTCTCCGCACTTCAGTCAGCTCCATGTTTATGTGGATGCATTTCCTCCAGCTTTTTGCCTGGAAAAATCATTCTCTTTTTATGAAAGAGGCAGACTTGAAGTATGAGAATGAGTTTAGGAACAGTTTTGTACCTGGAAGCAGAATTTGGTTTCTTCATTAGCCTTGCAGACTGGGGGTAGCTGTAAGAAATCCCCACAGATAATTAGCTGAATTCCTCCAAAAGGCTCATCCCGTTTTCTGACAGCCCTGAAAGGGATAGAAGAGAAGTCCTGAATATCCTCCAGAATCTGGACATAGTCAGGTCCCAGAAGTTACTGCTTACTCTGTCAGCATATTCAAACCTAGACAACCTACAGTGAAAGATGTTTATCAGAAGAGCTCAAATAATAAAGCAGTGCTAGTACAAGACATTAAATTTGCTTTGCATGCCTAGCCCAGAAGTCATTACCAGTCTTGGTTCTGTAGTGGCTGTTATACTACAGCTACTTCTCTCTTCCAAGAGAGACCTTTTGGGCAGAGCTGTATATTCTGGATTCAGCTCTACGGACAGCACACAGCTCAGGAGATGGAGAAAACAACCCAAACAGCCACAGCTGTGAGTGAGGCGTGGACATGACCAAAATCTATCTCATGGTAAAGATCAACCCAGATGCTATGATTTCATGCTTCCTTACAGTCCTCTACCAGCAGCTGCCTTGTATCCATTCACAAAACGAAAGAAAGGATGCAGACTTGAAGCTCAGAGAAATTAATTTCTGCTAGCTTGACGTGACAATGCTCACCTTGCCACTGCTTCCAGCTTGTCGAAGAACTTGCCATCCACCATTGAGATCTCATCAATAATTAAGTGCCGGCAGGCGAGCCAATGCTGGCGCACCCCTGGCCTCTCTGCCAGCTGAATGCACTGTTCCAGGGGTGCCTTCCCAGAGCCGATGCCTGTCACAGGACAAAAAACCAATGCTTTAGGTTGCTCCTGATTCTTTAGGAAGGGAGTAAGAGCTCCCAGGCCCTCGCTGTCGGGCAGGCCATCACCTGCAAAGGCGTGGAGAGTAGTGCCACCGATGTGACAAGCCGCCACTCCCGTGCTGGCTGTGGCGTAGGTGATGTTCGGAGGGAGGGAGCCCACGATCCTCTTCAGCAGGAACGACTTCCCAGTCCCTTGGAGAGAGAACAACAGGTCAATGGCCAGGACTTTCCCCGGGGAGCCGATAGGAGTCGCCGGGACCCCTCACCTGCAGAGCCGGTGAAGAAGATGCTCTTCCCGCTCCGCACGGCGCCCAGCACCGCCTCCTGCTCCGCCGAGAGCCTCGCCGGGGGCCGCCTCTCCGCACGGGGCACCTGCGGGACGGGAGGGGGTGCGCCGTGAGGGCAGGGCCGCTAGCCGGGGCCACCCCCTCGGCCCGGGACTCACCTCCGCCGGGCGCTCCCCCCGCTCTTCGCCGGGGCGGCGGCGGCCGGGGCCGCACAGCAGGTCCCGCTCCTGCACCGGGCTGATGACGGAGAAGGCCGGCGGCGGCCGCTCCAGCAGGCGGGGGCGGCGCGGCGCGTCCCGCGACCCGACGGCCACCTTGAGGCGCAGGAGGCGGAGGAAGCGGCGCAGCGCGTCCGGGGGGCAGTCGGACAGCAGCACCTGGGCGCCGTCCGGCCCCACCCGCACCGCCGCCCGCCCCTCGCCCGCGAACCGCGTGAAGAGCCGCACGGCGTCACCGGCCAGCACGAAGCTCAGCACCGCCGCCGTCGCGCCGCTGCCGCCGGCCACCCGCAGCACGGGCTGCCGCAGCTCGTTGCGGCCCAGCAGCACGGTCGCGTTCCGCAATACGCGGCGGCGCGGGGCGAGTCCCCCCGGCAGCGGCTGCTCCACGGCCGCCGTGCAGCGCAGCTCCGCCGCCTCCATCGCCCCGCCGGCCGTTCAAACGCGCCGCGTGCGCCGCCGCCAATCAACGCCCGGGGCTTTAACTCGGCGGCCAATAGGAGGTGGGAAGGGAGGGGCGTGAGGCGGAGCGCCGGTCGGGCCAATCAGCGGGCTCGCCGGCAGCACGCGGGCGTTGCCAGGGCCGCGGGCGTTGCCAGGGCGGCCATGGCCGCTCCCCGCGGCGAGAGGGATCCGCCGGACGCGCTGCAGAACCGCTTCCACGCCGAGCGGGCCCGCAGGGAGCGCCGCTGGCAGCTGCTCTTCACGCAGTACACCGTGAACCCCCTCCGTCCCGGTGAGGCCTCGCGGCCACAGGGAGCCGGCGTAAAGCCCCGGGGGCAGACAAGCCGTGAGGGGAGTGGGGGCAGGCCCGCAGCGCTCAGCTGCACGTCGGGGGCAAACAGCGGCACCGAGCGAGGCAGAGCGGCCAGGGAGGGGTAAAGCTGGAAAGGGCAACTGGTGCTCTTCCCTTCTGCCTGAGGAACCCGTCTGCACACTCAGAGACAGAGCCGAAACATGACCCACTTGCCCAGATGGTGCCTTTAGTAACCACGCAGAAGTGAGGCGACTATTTAGGGTGTGGAACTTACAAATTCAGTGTAAATACAGAGCCAAGATAGGGTAGAGGCCCCCAACACGACACCACGTTTCTTCAGGTCCTGATTGCTTCCTACCTGCCAATTCACAGTCTGTGCTAGCACACACAGGTGATATAAGTAGATTCTTTCAGGTCTAAGTTTTTCAATAAAACAAAGAAAAATAATTTCCTGAGACTTGGCACTCTGCAGGCCATCCCTTGGCTGGGTGGGACTCTGATATGGTAAGCACAGGCAGCATCCCATGGAAGGGCCTTTAGCACAGTTAATGCCCTTCCCTTCCTAGAAGTTGCCATTAATCAGTATTTCTAACTCATTTTCTTCTATGCACATGCAGACCAATAATACATATTCCATACCTGGCTGTGATGCCAAATTCACATTAAAGTCATTCACCTGTCTCATTTCTCTCCAGTTCACATGGTTACTAGGAAGCCAATGTCTTGGCATGAGAACATACAGGAGCCGATAGATGGTAAGAAGTCTCTGGAAAACTTGTGGGAACTACATAAGAAAATTATTGACACATTAAGATTTAATAATTGTAACCAGACTAAAATATCATGTATGTGTGAACACCTGTGTGACCATATAAGCTAAACTAATTTATGATTTTTGTTTGTAAAGCAGGTTTTTTTCTACTTTAAGGCCCTTTCGCATTGCTTTCCATTTTCAGCACAAGTTTGCATCCACGCAATTATGTCCTTATTTCTAATTAAAATATATATAAACTACAAAATATATAAAATTCCTTATATTCATACTGTAAAATTTTTGTTGAGAATCTAAACCTTTCAGGAAAACAAAAATACCTAGAAGCATGTTCTGTATTACATGTTGCCTGCCATTGCAGATTCTACCCAACCACCAGGCAGGTTAAACTGCAGAAATGACTGCCCAGTCTTACTTTAGAACACTGATAACAAGAGCCCTTAGAGCAGCTGCTCCCTTATTTCTAACATGCTGATTTATCTAAAAACCTTAATGGGTCAGGTGAGGTTGGTCTGCTCTATTCAAGGACTGGGGAGGGTGGCAAACCAAACCAGGGAAAGGCTGCAGGTCTCAGGCAACTTGAGAAAGTTGAAAGCGGTTATGGAACACAGGTTTGTACTAGATGTGGTGTAGGAAAAGATGCTGCAGTACAGTAGGCAGGGATACCAGAATTAACAGGACAGTACTGTCAGGCAAGTCTTGAAACTTCCTCAGGAAATATTTGAGTAGAAATGTCACTGTGCATTCAGACAGTGTCATTCACAGAAGCACAGAGGCTGCTCCTACCCTTGCTCTTCGTGTTGCTTGGACAGTGTTAAGATGTCCCATTCCAACACATGTCCACAGATGACTGATTTTTAAACATACATTGTGTCTCGTTTTTTAAAACAACAGATGAATTCCTGAATCTTCTTCACCGTGCAGCAGTGGTGCCAAGAGAGAAATATTCAGAGCCACAAACGGAAAGCCAAGAAATTGGCTGGCATACAACACCTTTGGTGAGTAGGATGCTTAAAGACTCAGCCCTTTACAGGATTCAGAGATGTTAAGCCTGCCACACTGAAAAATGCTCATGCAGGAAAGCAATTTGTGACAAACAAGGAAAACAAGAATTACACAGAATGAGCAGAGCTGTTCACAGAAAACAAGTTTTAAAATTTACACCTAAGAGGACTCTTCTCACTGGCAGAGACTTGTGAACAGAGAAGCAGTACACTTCCCCTGAGAAACCTGACTGCAAACATCTACAGACAGTGACAGCACACTGCCAAATGCCACAGGTGTACTCAGGGCTGTTCATTAAAGCGTTCAGCCATGAGAAATGGTGTAGTGAGCAATGTGAAGTGATGCACAGAAGTACTGTGAAAAGAAATGTGCTGCTGCACAGCACCTTTCAAACAAACTGCAAGTAGAACCATAAAATTAATAATCATGTAAGTATACCCAAAGCAGATACACCAGTGAGGATTCATCTTGGGAAGTGTGAATAAACAGAAGGAAAAGAAATATGATTAACAAGCTGAGACATCAATCATATCTGGCAAACAGCTGTGATGATGACTGACTTTGCAGATTAGCGTTTTGGGAAAGGCAAATTTTGGCCTGTTATAAAGGAAACTAAGATAAATAAGAAAATAAGACAGTCTTCATTGACTTTTCGTATTATATATCAAGTAAACTAGTTAGTAATGACAAGAGTGGAGACAGGCATCCCAGCTGGGCTCTGTAGTATTAAGGAACTGCTGGAAAGATTAATCTGGCAGGGTAGAGGCAACTAAACTTGTGTGTAGGGAAGCAATTTTTAGTCAGAACTGATGATGTTGTTTAATTTGTTAAGCTTTCCTTATTTGGCAGGTTTGACCATAACAAAGCAGAGAACAAGACAGTGGTACCCTGCTCTTCTGCCATTTGGACATTTCTCAGCAGCAGAACACCACGAATCGTTCCTCCCAGGAGGGACTCTGCTACTGATTTTAGTAAAAGCACATGACTGTTTGTTATTTTTGTTTCCAAGGTTCCTTTCGACCACAGTGATACCAGATTCTACTTCCCACGCCAGAAAACTGAGATCACCATCCATGGCTACCCTGCACCACGGGAACAGAAGTCTAAAGACCAGGGGGAAAGCCACAGATAGAATGTTAATGACATCTAATGTGTTAGGTCCTGCTTGTTATCCAGCAAGTCTGGCAGATTGCTAGTGAGAGACAATAGAAAAGAACTTTAATCTGTCCAGATTTACAACCTGACAACAGTGACACAAATAAACCTATCTGTAAGACTCTGTATTCATCTCATTGTTGTTCCTATACCCATCTACACAAAGAGTCTAAAAAAACACTCTAACATCTCAAAAAGCTTCACACTTCTTATTTTGACATTGGCAACAAGACCCAGCACTCAAGGTGACCAACTTCATCTTAACAGTAGTGGTGGGAACAAAGGGCAGGCTTCAGCCACCATTCATTGAACAGCTAAACATGAGTTACACATAGTTCTGTGCGAACCACTTAATGCGTTCACACAAAAAAGGTTTAAGTAGAAAACAATCCTTCAACGAAACAGACAGTAAGAAAAAATTAGTGATAAGGCACTGGTTTCCACTGGCTTTTTTTCCTTGCCACTGCAAAGTATCCAGTTTGCTCCACAGTTAACTGCTTGATGACAACAGAAACACATCTTGCAACACGAAGAAACACAGAAGAAACACTGGGGAGCACAGTTCTCTTAGCGGGCTCGGTTCTTCATTTTCTGCCTTGCTCTCTTTCCAGGTCTCTTCTGCAAAAAAAAAAGGACAGATTCGGATTTTTGTTTTTACGTTCTCCATCTTTGTTCTAGCTCTATAGCTTAGGGAGGATACCAAAGAGAGGGTATTGTCAGAATGTCTGGAGAGGAAGATTTTGGCACACAGGTAGCAAACAGCACTTTTTAATTCCCTTTCTGATTTTCCTGCTGATACCAAACCACTGTCCCCAACTCTGTTAGTAACTGAATTATGCTTAGCTCCCAATGATAGGCATCACTTCCAGATGCTGGAGGCACCTATCATGCACTCGCCCCTCCCTGCCAGACACGGCCTGGCTTCCTAGCCAACCAGGATCATTTTCATGCAACATTTTACTTACATTAAGGGCTTTTTTCCCTCCTTTTCCTCCTCTTCCTCCTTTTCCTGGGCCTTTGTTGTGAGCCACTTTTGACTGGAAGCTGGATACATCATTAAAACTCTCCTTTGTGTTCCACTTTGAGCCCTTCTTCTTCCCACCAAAACCAAACTTCTGATTTTTGTATCGTCTTTTGGCATTTGGTCTGAAAAACAACCAACCAGCATCACTGCCTACATTCCTTGTTTCAGAAAGCTCTCAAGACACACACACACATACATATATATATACTCATGGTCTCCCATCAACCACCATAAACCTTTCCCCTCTGAACAAAGATACAGAAATTACCACATTTCAGTCTCTATTCCAATTTGGTCATAGTTTTCTTTTCTTTAGGAATAGAAAGCCACCTTGGACTTACTTTAACACTAAACAGAACAGTTTTTTTTTTCCCCAAAATTATCCCCTAAAAAGACTGAAAAATCAGACATTCTGTGTTTAACTATCTTTTGTTTCTGGTCTCACCCCTTCTTTGTCCGCTGATTTGCACTGCCTTTTTTATTCCCTTGAGATGATGTCTGCTCTTCATCTAGGAAGTCCAGCTTGTCAGAGAGACCTGCAAGAGTGAAGACATCACAGCTACACCTCAGAAAAGACAAATTTTCAGTCTAAGCAAGTAATAGCAACAGGTCACCCTCAGCTGCTTGGGAGGTTTTTCACTGCCACTGGCACACAATTCTGCACAGTAGCAGCTTTCCAACCTCGAGGCCCAGAACTACAGACACAGTGACCACATCACACTGCCCTACACTGCTCACACACCACTACTGCCCTTACACATTTGTTCTCTTAGACAAGTTGACTTTACCTTTCTGGTATTTCTTGACTGCATTCAACATATTTTTCTTCTCCTTTTGTCTCCTCTGCAGAACCTCAACTTGCACCTGAGATTAGAAGCAGAATGTTAGTGTTGCTCCTTGCAGTGTCCCATACTTTTTTTTTAAGGTATCCTATCTTTTGTTCTGTTTTCCTTCAGAGCAGCTAGACAGAAGAATAGACAGATTCTGTGTGTTTTAGCAGACTCCTGTGGCTGCACTTTTCCACCTCCCCACTCAGGCTCTAAATTCTTGTCACAGATCCTTTGGCACATGTCCCTTTTGTAGCTCCTCACCTTCTTGCCGTATTTTCTCATTGCACGGAGTTGTTTTGCTTTCTCAGACCTTTCCATTGCTTCCTGTTTACTCTTAAGTTTCTGTCGAATCTAATTAGGGAATAGAAAAAAACTCAAAATTTATCAGTATTTATCTTATTTAAAAGAGAATTTTATAATTTCTGTACTGGCTAAAAAAGACAAAACTCACACAAGAGAGAAGAAAAAGCCTTATAATGGGCTCTAATGGAACTTAGAATATCATGTCAGTCTGTTTGGGTGTATGAAAAAGACTTACTAGTTTCTTTCTTGTCATTATTAAAAGTAAAGCACTGAAGAAAAGACAACAATCCTGTAGAAAACATTTTTTCTGTTCCCTCCTTGTTCACAAACATCTTTATAAGGATGCTGCCTTATGAAGAATTACAGAGATTTCAACACAGATCATTTGATTCAGTCTAGTGATTCCAGGAGATAAAAACTGTTCTTCAAATTCAAGTCAGTGAACAAGAGAAGAGTAATGTGCAGGACTGACTTAAGCCTTAGTACCAGCAAATTATCCTTCTTCAGCTTATCTAGAAAGGTTCCATCAAAAAGCAGAACAGTGACCCAATGATACATGAACCTTCAAATTAGACTCCAGCTCATGTTTCTTTAATTTATACAATGTAGTCTTTTTTCCAAATCTAAACCAAAAAATAATGTTCAATTTTGAACAAAGACTACAGTCAAGAAGGAAATGTGTGAAAGTCTTATTTCCTGTATCAATCTAATTTCCTATCCAAAACAGATTCATTCAATAACATACAATTTAAAATCACAGAAAACCAGAACACACTGACAATAAATGAAAAGTGATACTTAAATAGGAAAAAAAGGATTGCATTCAAGCCACAGTCAACTGCAAGTTATATGACAAAGAGCAAAAACACAGGCAACTTTACATCCACTGTTACAGATACTAAGAAAAATGTACACCTTTTTAATATTAAACACATTCAGGACAAAGTATAAATCATGTTTTTCTACTTCATCATTCAACCTGTTATAAGAATCCCCACGTTGCACCAAAAACCTAAACAGAAAGAAATCTCCTGTCACAAAGTCCCAAACCCAATCATTGTCACAGGAATCAGAAAAGCGATGAAGGTCAGTACTCACACGTCACACCTTAAATTTAATCCCTACCCCAGGCTAAAACACACACATTACACTGGAAAGAAAACCATTCACTGCACGTACCTTCTGCATCTGTTGGTCTGATTTGGCCATCTCTGCAAAGTAATCATCCGGCCTCCTCGTGGGAACTTGGAGCTTACGCAGCCTAGGGAGCGCTTCCAGGACAGCCGCCTGCGCCTGCCGGTAGCTGGGGGAGAGCACAGCACCGGCTGTCACTGCCTGGCTGTCACTGCACCGGCTGTCACTGCCTGGCTGTCACTGCCTGGCTGTCACTGCACCGGCTGTCACTGCACCGGCTGTCACTGCACCGGCTGTCACTGCACCGGCTGTCACTGCAGCAGCCCTGTCACCACACCAGCCCTGTCACTGCACTGGCCCTGTCACTGCACTGGCCCTGCCACCACACCAGCTGTCACTGCATGTTGGGTACCTCACAGTCCTGATACAAACTGCTCACACATGCAGGCTGATGATGGGATCTAGCAAGCATTGGTCTGGTCTAGCAAACATTCAGTGCTACTGAAGGCAGCTTAGGTGCCAGTACAACATTAACATTTATATCTGGCACATATACATTTATCTTGATTTTTTTTTATATTGGAATATAAAAGGCAAAGCAAAACAAGAGAACTGTAAGAGCCCCAAAACAAACCCACAAAGAAAAATCCGTATCTTGTGTTAAAGCATTAGTCCTGCTATCAAGGAGCTTTTAAAATAAACTCAGCAAAGGATGAAGTCTGCTATGAAGACAGAAATTATTTCTTTTCAGTCACGCAGCAGTTAAATATACTACACTAATTTGTAGTTATTTTGGAAAACATTCAGAGCCATCCAATGTAAAATAACATGGCCGAGAGTACCACAGTGACAGCCAGTGTAGCAGTCTGCAGCTGTCTGTAGCACACTGCTGAAACACAACTCCAAACACGCAGCAACACAGTGAGACAACACATGAAATCTCTTTTTAACACTTACAAACTCATTTCTCTCTGGAAATCATTCTCAGGGTCAACGGCATCAGATGCAGAGGCGCTCTGAGAAACGGGGTCCGCGACCGGGCCCAGAGTCACGTCCAGCCTTTCCACCCAGGCCAGCTGCTGCCTGAATTCGGCCAGGCACTGCTTCAGGCCGTCCTGTGGAAGGAGCACAGCTCAGCACAGCAGCGCACCGACCGACCCGCACGGCTGGCCCGGCCGAGCGTCCCAGTGACACCGCGGGCTGCTCCTCGGGGCCGCCGGGGCACGCCCGCAGCGCGCCCCGCAGCGCACAGCACCGGAGCCCGCCCGGCCCCGGCCCCGCCGAGCTCCTGCGCCCGCTCCCGGCGCTGGGCTTTTCCCGGCCCCGGGCTTTTCCCGGCCCCCGCGTTCCCCGCTCACCGTGTCATTGCGCCGCTTCGGCCGCTCCTCCAGCACCACGTTGAGCCCCGGCTTCAGCGCGCCCCTCGCGAAGGCCTCCTGGAGCTGTGAGAGAGTTCGGTCAGTCCGCGCCGCCGGCACCGGGCGGCCCTTCCCCACCGGGCTCGCCACGGCGGCCGCGGGCTCACCTCCGAGTCCGAGAGCGAGGAATCCTCCGAGTCCGAGCCGGAGTCCGAGAAGGACCCACGCCGCGCCACCGCCGCCGCCATCGCTGCCGCCCCCACCGCCGCCATCGCTGCCGCCCCCACCGCTTCCGGCCGCGTGCGCCGCCGCTTCCGGGGCCGCCGGGGCCGCGGTCGCCACGGCGACGGCGGCAGCGGCAGCATGGCGGCGGCGGCCGTGCTGCCCGTGGCCGTGTTCGGCTGCCGGCCGCGGGTGGCCGGCGGTGTCTGCTTCCTGGAGGAGCAGGTGGTGCTGCACGCCGCGGGGTCGGGCTGC